AAAAAAATCTTAATATATAGCCTCCTGCAAGGGCCAGGGTGTGATGTGACTACACACTTTTTCATTCAATTTGGCTTGAAAGCCTGCTTTCTGTCCCTTGATATTTATGTATAAGCAAATTAGGTTGTTTGGTATAAGAAACTCAGACTCATTTTATGACTTTTAATACATATGCTTGCCTTGTGTTACTTAGCTGCCTTTTATTGAGAAAAAAATTAAGCTGTGATTTATTACCCGGTGATAAATTTCAAACACCTTTTTATACTTTTTAAAACGTTAATCATTAGGCATAATGTTAGAGTTGGTGAGCACGATTTAAAGACTCATTAGCTATGTGGCTCAGGCGTGGCTCTCAGCCTCGCACAGCTGCATCCCCAACTTGTGGGTAAACATGGCTTTCAAACCCACGGTGAGGATGATATGGCTCAATATGCAGGGAGCCCCAGGAATCTGAGTCGCTTGTGAAGGGTTGTGTCTGGACTTCTCTATGAAACAAACTGAGTCAGAATTGGAAACCCTGGCCTGCTGGGGCTGACCCTGTGCCCTATGCTTGAACACTCATTGAGACAAGCTGTTTCCAAAATTCCCCGGGTTTGGGAACTTCTCAAGCAGGAACTTACCAAATTCTAATAGGAGCTGGCATTTCCACACAATGATTCATGGGACTGACGTGACTTTCTCTAAAAGTCGGATCTCCCTGGCTATGGGCCAGAAGGCAGACTACAGAACAGTTGTGTGGTAGACAGTCATCTATTCCCTCCAGGACTGAGTAAGTGATTTGTAAAAGGAGGGAAACTTTGTTTCCAGGGCTGGGCCCACACAAGCTCAGTTATAATACGTCACTTCCTGTAGGACTCTTTAAGACTTCCGGTCAAGGCTCACAACTGTGAATACTGTGGTTTCAAAAGAAAGAATCTTCTAAGTGGAGCTTTGGGTGGTTTTATTGGTGTCATTTTGTTGGGGTCTTTTGTTTGCTTTTGATTGTATGAAATACTCTTTTTAAAAAAATGTAAAAAAAAAAATCGCACACTAAAATTAACTAGACCCAAATTCCAACTCCAATAACTTCTATACAATTAAAATAGGCATTTGGGGTGGAATGTATAGGGTTTCACATTAAGTTTTACACTTTCAATGTTGAATATACTTTATGCACTTAGTCACCAACAAAACCAAAAAGAATCAGACAATAGAATGTCATTGTTTTGCTTAGATATTTTACACATTGAGTCTTGTTTTTTCTCTCTGCAAAGGCTGGTATGAAAAATTGGGTGAGTGCTTATTCCCATGGCAACCCTTCTCCTATCCACAAACTTACAGCTAGTGCAGCAACCTCTTTGGGGGGGGGGCGGACAAAGAGTGGTTGTGATAAGGCCCAGGACTCAAGGGCCAACAGGGCACATGCCAAACACCATCTTGAGTTTCAGAGACATTTCTTTAACATTGAGTGTTTTCTGTCCTGCCATCTCTCTTGGGTGATCAAGCTGCAATCATTGACTGATCTCTTGGAAGCGTCTTGCACATCAGGGGCACTGAATAAACTCTCTAGGATCCCAGATGACCTGTTGACATGACCGTGACAAGTTGAGATGGAGCACAAGATCGATCCAGTGCTTGAACCCTTTCTGTGCAGATGGTCATTCTCCAGAGAGCTCTGAAAAACTAGTTCCTGGCATGTTTTCTTCAGGTGTTAGCAGTGCCAACGGTATTTCCTGAGAAGCAGGTCATGGTCTCCCTTCCATGCTTGACTTGGGAGGGTGGGTCTGCCGCTTTGCATTTCCTGCTGCTGGCAGAAGTGTGAACATTCATGCTTGAATTTGGCAAAAATGTGGTCATGTTTTCTGCTTATCACCTCCCTGCATTGTGTCAAGGGCCTCCTATAGTTTAAAAAAAAAAAAAAAAAAACACTAAAACAGAGAGTCACAGGTATTTGGGTGCTTATGAGTTGGGAACCCTGTGTGCTTCCGGCACCCCAGTCTGGCAAAGGGAGCTTGCTGAGACCCTCCGGCCCTGTCCTCCCGTATGTCAGCATCCAGAAAATTGGCCGTGGGTGGTGGGCTCTGAAGGAATAGCTTGCTGTTACAGACTAGGTGCTGACAGGTTACTAACACTGCAGTCAGTGGCCACAAGGTTTACAAGTGTATTTATTGGTGGATTTAGTCCTGACATTTCCATCCACGTGGCTGATAGAAACACCAAAGCAGGGGTAAGTTAGGTAACTCACCACTGCCCCTAAGCCAATGCAGAGTAAAGTAGACGCAGCCTCAAGATGGCATGCTCTAGTGTAAGCACACACACACATACACACACACACACACACCACACACACACACACACACACACACACACACCACAGCTCTTTAATATGTTCTCAAAACAACCTTCAGAATCATGCTAAAAGAAAGCCTTGAAAACCCTTGGGTGTTCAGTTGGGGGCTGTGTGATGTTTAATAAGACACTGTGTAAAAACTATGCAGTAAACCAAGAATAGTGCCTTGGGCTTGATTGAATGAGTTATGTCACAGCCTAGAAGATAAACGGGCAGGGCAGGGGCTTTTGCTGTTCTTGTTTGCATTTGTTTTGAAACAGTCTAGGCTGGTCTTGACCCAGCTCCTAAAAGTTGTCCTCCGACCACTGTGCACATGCACACTCCCACACCAACAGGCAGTGATACTATATGCAGTTAAAACATAGTCACTTAGACATGAAAATTTTATCTCTAGCATCATTAAAAACTGACTAGGCAGATATCTCCGTCGGCGAAGCACCTACTGGACAAGGACCTGAGTTTGATCTCCAGAACCCATGACCAAGGCCAAAAGAGCTGCACTAGGAAGACAGAGACCAGCTCGTCTCTATGCAAGTTCCAGGCCATTGAGAAGCCCGTCTCAATAAATAAATATATCAAAGGAGGGCAGTGTCCAAAGAATGACACTGAGGTGGTACTCTGGCCTTTCCATGCAAGTGCACACACATGCACAAGCACCCCAACACATAACACACATGCACACATCCAAATAATAATAAATAGGCAACTAGTAGGTTTTAGCCTGTGGGCTGCGACAGAAATGACCTGTAACTGGTGCCTGGCCATCAGAAAGTTCCATCACAAAAGTAACTTCACAGTGGTTTATACAGACATTGGATGAGGAGGCGTTTCAGTGTTGTGGACTTATTTAGCTCAGAAGGCCAGGATTAACCAGCTCAGCCACTGACCTGCAGTGGGGCCTGGCAAAGCTCTCCGCATCCTGCCTGCTTTGGGGGATGTTCTATACAGACCAGCAAAAACTCTGTTTCCTGACTCACACCTTCCCCACATCTATCAAACCCTTACACCCCCCTCTGTGACACTGACTGTCAGATCCCTCAGCTGGATGGCCTAGCAGGATCCTACATGAGATCATACCCAATGAGTGAACCAATCAATTAACAAATAATGTGGGGACGGACTGACGGGTCAGGATAATGCCATTCGTCTGTGACAAGGGTGAGCTTCACGGGAACCTTCCAGGATTGAAGTACTTTGAGTTCAGGGAGTAAAGGCCCAGCTGTTTATGGACCCCATTCTCAATGGGGAGCTCTTGGGAGTTTCCTGTCTTTGCTTTGCCTCGGAACATTCCACCTCACTCTGTGCTCAGCCGGAGCTTAGTCCTGGGCTTGACTTTTCCAGGCCTGAGTCACATCCTGGGTGTCTGAGCCATAGAAGTCAGTAGCTTCCAGCCAGCAGAGAGGGTTGTGGTCAGACCGTCCACTGTTGAGAAACAGGGAGTAGAGACGGAGCTGGAAGGCAGTCCTGAGTCAGCTCCTAGGAACTGGCCGCAGCTGGATGAGGTGAGGCTAGATGTGCGACCTTGGGGTCCCGGTACCGCTAGCCAGTCCCAGGTGTGGCCTTGAATAAGTTATCACCACTTTTCTGGACCTCAGCTTTCTGTTCTGTAAAATGGTCTTGCTGCTGCCTGTGCAGCCAGTTTGCTGTGCAACTCAGTTATCAAAACCTGTCATTTTGTAAGTGTGCATGTGCCAGCTGTTACTTGTGCAGTGGACCTCTCTTACGTTCTTGTAAGGCCTTTACATGGTGGAAGTCCCAGGCAGAGACAGAAGTTTCGTGGCTGTCCTGAAAAGCTGTGGAAATTTGGTTCCGGTTCAAAATCCTCAGTGTCCCAGTAAGAGACAAAACTCATACACCCGCAGGGTCTCACTTCACACATATGTCCGAAAGTTATCTTGAGAACAACTTGGGAGGGGGGGAGCCATCTTCGTAGTGTAGTTACTGAATAAGCATTTACTACAAACCCTGTGCACGGCCCCAGAAGCACATAACTGCAAGTGACCAGTGACAAGGACATGGTCCCCGGGTGTGAGGGGACGGGCTCTCCCAGGCTATCACCAAGAAGCTGTTGCCTGACTTTCACACAGCACCATCCATCACCCAGAGCGACATGGGGGAAGTAATGTGTTACCAAGAGCAGCCCCACCCCAACCTATGACAGCCTCCCTAGTGTGTCTGCCATGGCCTGCGTGCCGGGCCGGGCCGGGCGCTTTGTGTGAAGCTGTGTGCTTGGTAATCTTGTAGGAGCCAACCAGATGAATGTCATCCTCGGAGGTGGTTCTGAAGAGAAAGCTTATGTTAAGTAAGAGGGATGTCCCCTACCCAGCTTTCACAGGGATTAGGGCCTTGGCAAGGAAAGAGAATTTCTTTTGCCTTTGCAGAGAAAGAGTGTGGTCCACATTAGTGATACTGTGCCACACAGGAACCCAAGGGAGCCTCTGGGGATGTTCTAGAACTATCTGCATGCACCTCTCTTGGGCAGAGGTGGAGTGGTAGGCTTGAGAAGTGCTTTCCAAGCCTTCCATTAGGTTCTCAACGGCCCCATCTAATCTTTTTGGTTTTTTTCCCTCCAAATAGAGAATATCTGGACATTTTTCCTAGAGTCAAGAAATGGTCTAGTAAACACTCTTATCATCCTCAATTAGCATTTTTTTCTGTATTTGCTTTCTTTAAAAATATGGGTCACTTCGTGAATTTTCATGTCATCCTAGCACAGGGACCAAGCTAATCTTCTCTGTATCGTTTCACATCTAGTTCACGTGCTGCAAAGCCAGCGCTGCCCCTGGTCTTGTCGAAGATCCTCATGCCAGTGTGTGTTTCAGGACAGACACCACAGTGGATAAGGACTCCCTGAGCCTCCTTGCATAATAGATGGATTAGGACGTTAATTTCATGTGACTCCTTGACCGGGCTAAGGGATGCCCAGATAGCTGGGTGGGTGTTGTCTATGGATGGAATTGCCTGTGAACCTCCAGGCACTGGGAGAATCTGGCCTCATAACCCTCCTCTTCCTTAGCAGCAGTGGGAAGCCATGCTTCCCCAGCCCTCACCTTTGCAATTTAGAAGCTACCGGGGGCTGTGTCAGGCATACAGAGGGTGTCTAATTAAAGCTCTTATGAGAGTGTCTCCTACATTTAGCCCACTCAGCAAAGGCAGAGTTCCCACCAAGTCTGTTGGGTGTAATTGGTATTGCAAGCATGAGTGAAGGTTCATCTCTTTTTAAGGAAACAAACTGGACTTTTCAGAGTTGAACACGGTGTGGATGAATATTCCTTGCATTTAACCAGGAAGTCTTCTCTGTTCTCTAGAGGAAGAGCTGTCTGCTCGGAAAGACCACTGTGTTTACTCTTGGCACCTGAAAGTAATTCAACTAAATGTGACCAAATCCTTGCTTTAACTCGGACTCCGCTAACAAAGAGCAGGCTTTTCTGCAGTTCACACAAAGGGTGTGAACTGTGGATGCGGGCCTCACTGCCTAGCCATTAATTTCTGCCAAACCCAATGGGTAACTAGACTGCATTTTCTGAGCTTGCTAGATCCAAAATGGCTGCCTCAGAAGACCCCGGAATGCTGGTTAGAAATGCCCTCCCATCACGTGAAAGACTCTAAAATGTAGCCAAATGAGCTATACACACTGATCTCAAAATAACGTATCCAAAGAGGTAAAGTAGGTCCTTTGTCAATGCTTGTTAAATTTTGTTTAGTCATGATAAAGTATAATATTTTTGATACATGGAGTTAAATAAGTGATTCATATCAATGCCTGTTTCATTTGACTTTTTACTGGGCTGTTCCAACAGTTTCCAGTGTGCATGGCTTGCATTCCGTCTCTGGGGGATACCTGGCATCTCAGCCATCACTGAATCCCTGGGAACACTTGACATCAGGTGCATTTTGGGTAATGGATGGTCTAAGTTTGGGACTTTGACAAACTGTTTTACTCCCTTGGGCCTCAGTTTCCTTCTGTGACATAAGCAAGGTAACAAAGAACTGTTTCATTTGCTTCCATTTGGCCATTTGGGGCTCAGTGGGCGGGGCCCAGCACCTGAGTAGCAATGGCCTAGAAGGCTGACTCAGTGAAGTGAGGAGATTATGCTGTCCCCGCTTACAGAGCAGTGAGCTCAGACAGCCCTAGGAGTCCTCTGTAATTTAACCTTCTGTGGCAGATCTTCTCAGACCTTCTTGTGGGCTTTCCCATCTAGGAATAGCCCTGCTTGCCATTGCAAATTGTAGCCTCCTATCTTGCTTACCACTGTCCCCATAGAGCCAGCACACAACTTTTGTCCTGTAATTTGTGACTCAGCTCTAGAAACGCCAGGTTAAACAGATTTTGATGTAAAATGCTGGGTCATTCATCTACTATCCTTCTACTGTTCCTTTTAAGACAGATTAAAAGCCAGTGTTCATTCTTCTGGCCGAATTCTAATACTACAGAGGCAAGAAGATAGTAATTTATTGAGTGGGGGATGCAACAGGAAACATTCGTTTGAAATTAATGATAGAGGGTAGAGGAGATGGTTCACCAATAAAGAACTTTCTACACAAATGAAGGCTACAAATCTGATCCCCAGAACCTGCATGAAAGAGAGTGGGGGGGGGGCAGATGGGTGCTTACAAGCTCAGCACTTGAGTAGGCAGATCTGTAGGGCTTGCTGGCCAGGGAGCAAATCCTCATCAGGCAAGCCCTCAAGTGAGAGACCCTGCCTCAAAGAAACAAGGTTGACAGCACCTGAAGAGAAACTTCATCCAAGGCCGTCCTCTGACCTCTATACACACACACACACACACACACACACACACACACACACACACACGCACGCACACACCAATGATGATGATGATGGTGATGATGATGGTGAACTAAATAAGAATTGCCAAAAAGAAAATCACAAGAAACCCACCCTAAAATCCCAAACTTAGAAACACCTACCTCCTGCTTTTATTTTCAAGAAACTTACCTAAAAAATTTTTGCTTAGTTATTGTGAAAATGAACTTATTTATTGGGCAGAATGGTGATCAAAAGACAATTCCTGGGGCTGGAGAGATGGCTCAGAGGTTAAGAGCACTGGCTGCTCTTCCAGGGGTCCTGAGTTCAATTCCCAGCAACCACATGGTGGCTCACAACCATCTATAATGAGATCTGATGCCCTCTTCTGGCCTGAGGGCATACATGCAGACAGAATACTGTGTATAGGATAAATAAATAAATAAATAAATAAATCTTAAAAAAAAAAAAGACAATTCCTGACTTGAATGCCTACAGCCACTATTAAATGTCTGCTGAACTCAATATCATCACCTACTAAATGGGAGGGTACCAGTTGAGCTCTCAAAACCCCAAATGTGGGCATGAAAATCCCACCTTAAAAATGCTGGCCCTAGGAACCCATCTTTTATGCATTTGACTTACGGTCCCAGAAAATGCGGAAGCCCGTTTTCAAGGACTAGTGGTGGAGGGAGGTGTGTCTATGTGGGCAGCCCTGATGATAGTATTGAATGCTCTATTGCAGTTTCTTATCACACACACTTGAGTTGAGGCCAGCACATTCTAGAAGCTTAACAAGTAAAGCTCTGCTCTGCGCTGTTTGTTTTACTTAGTCTTCTAAACAATGCTGGGAGAGCACACAGTAGCTCTAATCTGTAGGTGTGGAAACAGGACTGTAGGGAGGTTTGTCCCAGGCCCTGCTCCAGGCGTCAGTAGGAAGACACAGATGTTTGGGTTGCTGGAGGCCTGGCTCAGGGGACCCTTTCACCCTTTGGGAAGTTCCAGGAAGCAGGCAGCTCTTTGCCCCAGTGATTGAAGGGCTCCCAGGCACTGGGGCAGATGTCTCTCTCCTGTTCCCTGGGCCCCTTGCCCAGTTCTTCCCTGCCCTGCACAACGTCTTAAAGCATGTTGGAAACATTAACTCCTGCTATTCATCTTAGCTGGGCTAGCTCTGACAGTGCAATTTCAGTGTTCCTCCAAGGGCAGACAGTAGGTCACAAGAGTCGATAATGGATCCCAGGCAATTGGACACAATTCAGATCTGATGGGAACCTGCACCTTCCTCACACTGAGTCCCAGGCCCCCTCCCTCTCACACCCACAGTTGCAGGGTACTTTCTTCCGGGAATGTCTTGGCTCTGAAGTCGCTGGAGGGACAGTGGATCTTTAAATCACCAGTAACACTGAGTGATATAAATCCCCTACAAACGGTTGCTTTTGTGTGCTGCCAAGGGATTCGTGACTAAGAAAAAAAGTCCCGTCATGTTCGGGGCAGATGCAGTTTTGATCCTGAGAAGGTGGAATTATGGGTACAGAAACACACAGCTAGGTAAATGAATCCTAGCTACTGTCCCCAGTCTCCTGGTCTCCAGCCTTTCCCTCCTGTCTCCTTCCTGACCGGCACACGTGATGTGTCTAACTTGAGAGCAGTCCATCTCTCACCTGCAAACACATCTGTCCCTGCAGCTGTCCCAGGAAAGCCCCTTAGAGCTCTCTTTGACCCCTCCCTTGCCTGGCCAAACGCTCAGCTTTACACAGAGGCTCCCGCCTGGCCTTGAACGTGGCTTTCTCCACCCCTGCACTACAGTCTGGACTGGATTCACCCAGATTTATTGTCCTCCCATCTAAGGCCTCACTGAAGCCAGAACTGTAAGTTGGATTGTACCCTCCCTAACTCATGCCTTCTAGGGGTCCTGCCCAGCCCAAAGCGAGTCCTGACATCCGCATCTGTTCCAGGCTCGCTGTGTGCTCTTCACAAGCCCCCGCACATCCTGACCTGCCCCAGCCTTTCGGGCCATTCTCTGTTCATAGTTCCCTCCTCAACAAGGCCTGGCTTTGAGAAGCCATGCGTGCCGTGTGTCAGGGCAGTGCCCCTCACCCCACCCCACCCCCTTGCCATTAGCTGCCGTGTGTGTGTGTGTGTGTGTGTGTGTGTGTGTGTGTGTGTGTGTGTGTGTGTACATTGGTCCCTTGGGGGCCAATTCCAAGCAGATCGTGTTTGCTCAATGGGACTCTGGCCCCGTGCCTGGCTCCAGGCCGGAACTTGAACGTGTGTGGAGCTGAGGCGGGAGATGAAGACAGTGCTGGCTGATTGAGTTGGTGTGAACCTAAGAGGCCTCGGCCTGGAAAGGAAACTTGAGAGCAGGAGGTGGGCTGGTGGAGGCAGCTTCTCTTGAGGAGGAGAAGCCACCCTGCCCATACCTCGGGCACTCCAGGCCCAGCACACATTCTGGTTCTCTCTCTCTCTCTCTCTCTCTCTCTCTCTCTCTCTCTCTCTCTCTCTCTCTCTCTCTCTCTCTCTCTCTCTCTCTCCTCCAGGCTTGAGTCATAAGGCTCTGAGGATGAAGCCTGTGACCCACATCTCTTGGTTTCCTTCCACACAACCCATATGAATCCACTGTTTTGATTAATTCCTAATTCAAAACAGTCTCTATCCTCAGACATAGTCATCCCGTTGGGGTCCCAGAACCCCAGCCTGAAGAGGCCAGAAATGCAGGTTGATTGGCACCAGTCATTTGTCCCCCAAGGTAGGAAGGAAATCACACCCTGTGCCTCTGGGTCTCTATGGCCCCAGGCCTCTCTCCCATAGCACATACGAGGTGCCTAGGGAGATTTGGCCTCAGAGGGTGTGTAGGGGCACCCCCCCCCATTTATGGTCCACATGCCTCAGGATGTTAAGAAAGAGCAAACTTGGAAACATCCTAGGAAAAATAGCTCAGCCTGGATCTTTCCTTCAAAGAGGCTGCCACGCCAGCTGTGTGCCGACTGACACCCTTCTGCCCTTCTTTGGGG